CAAAGTCCCCTAAGTCTCTGCCTTTGGAAAGTCTGGAAGGAAGCGGGTGGAGCTCAGCGGTGGGGCGCTTGCTGGGGGGCCCTGGGGTCCATCCCCGGCACTACCAGAGAGGACAGAGGAAAATCTGCAGGGACTCCTACCAAGTTCACGACCCCAGATGCCTTTGAGTTCTTCCTGGGCGGAAGCCGAGCGCCCCGGGTGCTGGAGAGAGGCCAGTGGTCATAATATTTACGAATGAAGCCGCTGTTCTCCCGCGGGGGCTGCGGCGATGACGCGCATCGTGCATAAATGTGCAGGGTGGGGGCGGGGAGGATACTGGAGGCTTCTGGAAGGGTTGCAAGACAGGCCCCACCTGAGCCCTGAGCACAAAGCCGGTAGGACGCCCGCCTGCCCAGGACGAGCTGGTCCCCGCCAAGCCCGGAGCACCGCGGAGCCCGCCTGCCCCGCCCGGTGCAACTCCCGCTCCGGCCGCCAGGGGGCGCCGCGGGCTATTCGCTTCAGGGCTGTGTGGCCTTGAGCAGGCGACAGGGCTGCTCCGTGTCTCATTCCCCCTTCATGAAATGGGCCATGCGCTTTTTTGTGGTACCAGGGATTGAACCCAGGGGTGCTCTACCACTGAGCTGCACCCCCAGACCTTTTTATTTTTCTATCTCGTCCCAGGATCTCTCTAAGGGCCCCGTCTGGCCTCACAACTCTTCTGCCTCAGCCCTCTGAGTCCCCGGGACTACAGGCGTGGGCCACCACACCTGGATGGGACACTTAGCTTTGTAAATTAGGGTGTCTTAAAGTCTGGAGGGTTTACTGAGCCCCAGAGAGATGCTCACTGCTGCCCCGTGTCGGAGATCTTTTAGGGGTGTCACCGACACCACACCCTCAGCCGGCCTTGAGCAGGGGCCCAGAAGGAGCTGAGAATTGCCAGCAAGCAGCAAGGGCTCCCTCCCTCTGGGGACAGAGGGTCAGGGGACACAGAGGCCAGCTGTACAGGGTGGAATGCAGTTCTGTTGTTGTCAAGAAGGAGACCATGGGTTGGGGGGGGACCCAGCGTAGGGAAATAGAGGGAGCAGGAGACATGTACACCCGGAGGCAGGGAGTCAGAGAATGCAGAGGCCGAGGGGCGGGAGGAGCTGGGTGGTGGCGCCTGCCTGGCACGTGCAAGGCCCTGCGGTCCATCCCCAGCAACAGGAAAAGAAAAAAACAAAACAAAACAGCAACCATTTCAACAAGTGCTGTGCAGCTTAAATCAGCCTTCAGAGACGGTCCCCAACAAGAGCCTCCCTTTTCCTATGCCTCCACCACAGCTCCAGGGCCAGAATCGGGTCTCCATGAAGCTTCGGCCCTGAGAATCGCACCCCGCCCCCACCAATGCTTCAAGTGCACATTCTCCTGCTGTGAGCCGCCTGGCAGAGGAGGGTGGGGAGACCCCTGTGGCCCCTGTGGGGTGCTGACTCCCTCCCTACCTTGTGCAGGGCTACCCCAGAAGCACAGAGCAGGCACAGGCCTGACACATAGTAGCTGCTCAATAAATACATGGAAAGAAAGAAAGAATTAAGAGATAGATGTGGTTCAAGAATGACGACTGGAGAAGGTGGACAAGGGCCTGGCAGACCCCCTTTTCCATACTAGAGATACAGGTCCAGAGGGAGAGCCCAAGGGTGCTGTAAGAAGCTGCCCCCGTCCAGCCCCGTAGAGCCATTTCAGCTGAACCTGAGGTCAGAGTGGACCCCAGCCTCCATTGGACCCTGAGACCTACCTATCACTAAAAAGTCGGTTGTCTGGCTCAGCAGGTGGGAACGTGAAGCAAGGGCCCCCTGCAACCTCCTGGAAAGTTCACCCACCAGGGCCGGCGGGTGCCAAAGGGCTTGGTCATTGCTTGGCCCCGGGGTCCACGCAGGGCCTGCCTGGAATCTCCTGGTTGTCCAGGGGCAGGGCCCCCCAGGGCCTTGGGTACTAGAGCTAAGTGTCAGGTGACCCCGAGGGCTCCCTCTCCAGGGCCTCCTCCTCCTCCTCCTCCTCCTCCTCTGCTTCCTCCAGGGCGAGCTGGAACTGGAACCTGTCGGGAGCCCCCCGCTCCGAGCTGACCGCGGTGTCCACGGGGCTGCGGGGGATCTTGCTCTGGTACCACTCCCGGTTGTCCTCCAGCGTGTCCAGCAGGTCCTGTGCGTCGGGGTGGACCAGGTCAGCCCAGGTCTCCCACAGCGGGTGGGCGATGTAGTCGATGAAGCCCACCTGGGGTGACACAGGCAGGTGGCAGGTCAGGCCTTGGGCCACGTCTGTCCCTCTTCCTGGACGTCCATTCCCCAACTCCTGGTAAGCCCCCAAAGTCTCTTCAGACGCCCCCCGAGGGCAGGACCGAGCTGTGCCTGGACGGGGACCCCAGGCTGGCCCAGCTCCGGCTTTCCCTCCCCCACCCCCGCGGCCAGGCTCGGCCACCCTCAGACCTGGGACTTCTCCACCGAGGCCGTGTGCTTGTCGCACATGGGGCTGATGTCCAGGCCCGACTCGCGCTCCCGGTCACCCTGCTGGAAGAACTCCGCCATGATGCGGTCTGTCCACTGGCGGTACAGGGGCAGCGGCTTGGTGGGGTTGCTGAGGTCAGCACAGTGGACAAGGTTCTGTAAGACCTGGGGGGTCAAGACAGGAGGGCACTGGCCGGACCCGCCACCTCCAAACCTGCCCAGGTCCGGGCCTGACACATAGTAGCTGCTCAATAAATACATGGAGAGAATTTAAACTTAGGTGATAATTGATTCTGTGGTTCAAGAATGACTTCTGGAGAAGGTGGACAAGGGACCTGTGGGACCCCCCCATCCCTGTGCTAGGGAGAGAAATGCTCTGAGCCACAGACACCATCTTGCAGGTGAGGAGCAGACCTGGGAGGAGAAGTGGCCACAACAGAGACATGTGACATTATTTCTTCAGATTTGGCATACAGTTGGTGCTTCATAAATGCAATTAAATAAGAACTTCAGAAACGGAGGCCCCAGGGCTCACCTGGCCACATACCTGGATGCGATCGGAGTAGTTATCCAGGAGCAGGACACCGAGGCTTGTCACCTTTTTGGTTTCTACCATGGTCTTGAGGTCCGCCAGGAGATTCATGTGTTTGGACATATCTGTGGCCAGCACCTGGGGACAGGCCAGGGAGGGTGACAGCATGAGGACCCATCTGCCCTGCTTCCCACCTCTAGAGGCCACCCCCACTGAGACCCCTCTACTGTCAGTCCCCAGGTCCTCATCTGTGAAATGGGAGGGTATGATAAAGGATTCATTGCAAACCAGCTCAGAAGAGGGACACGACCAGTGGCCCCTTCTCTGGGCTCACTGGGCTCAGCCAAGCATCCCTCGTGTGTGACAGGGTATGGGGAAGGGTGAGGACACTCAGCAGCTGACATGACTGGCACCAGAGGGTAGCCCCAAGGCTCCACAGAGGTCATGTCCTGTGCAAAGGCCCTGGGGTTGAATGAGTTGGGTGTGAACAGAGAGGAGGTGGGGCTGGAGCCGGTGAGGACAAGAAAGATGGAGGTGAGGGGGCAGAGGACGTGGGGGTGGGAGGTGGAGCACCTATGGAGAGGGTCATGGGATCTCTGGGAGGGTTTGGAGCTGGGGACCTGGCATGGTGCTTTCAAACATCCCCGTGGCCACTGTGTTCAGCCTTATGTTGGGAAGTTCAGCCCTCAGCACAGCTGTGGATCCAGCCCAGGAGTGAGCCACACCCAGCCACATTCCGAGACCTGAATACAAGTCTCAAAACTTCTCCCCAAACACTTGATCTGTACCAAATGCCACCCCTACTGTGGCTCCGCCACCAAGGCCCCTCTTCACCTCGCCAAACCCCAGCTGCTCCTCACCCCAGGCCCTGGCTTCCTCTAGACCGTCCACACATGCTGTTCCCTCTGTGGGGAACACACCTTGCCATCCCACAGGGGCCTGGCTCCTGTGTTCCCCACACTAGAGGCCCTGCTTGGCCCCTCCGCCATCTGCACCTCTCAAATGCTATATGGCCTCATAGGATCCATCTCCCCCAGGGACCATGAATCTCAGAAATTAGGCCAGAACTGGCTAGGTGATTGGCACAGGCCAAGCACACAATAATAGCTCAATAAACGCTTGCTAAATGAATAAATGAGAAACAATTTCCCAAAACTCCCCAGAGTCCTCCAGACTGAATAAAGTCCCACGGATGGACGTTACTGTTAGGCTGAGGAGAAGCCGCGGCCCCCACCCCAGGAGCGCCGTCTCCACTTGCTCACACACAAACGGCCTGAGGAGCCAGA